TCATAAACCATATTTACCAACGACTGTGGAAAGCCAAAGTTTACAATATCAAAGCTAAAAAAAATCATTCAAATAGAAAAAAGAATCAATAAATCAGGCATAAAAAGCGACTTTTTTCTTTCCTAAAATGACAAAAAGCTTTTGCGTACAATATTAAGGTGCCGCGGAGAACCGGTTTTGCTATTCAGATACAAGGCTAGAGCACCACCCTGGTAAATCGCTTTCCTCGATGAAGCTATGGTCGCCTATACAAAAATTTGCAAAAAAAATCTTAAATTTCAAGTTTTTTTTTCAAAATTTTTCTCGATACTCATATAAAAAAAACTTCAGTCGGTCAAATGATTGCATGCTATAAACAAAACATCCATCTACTTCCGTTTGCTGACGTCTTTTTGAAGAGTTTATTCGTTTTTGCTGGGGGAGATAGCTCAATTGGTCATTACGGGGGGGGGGGTGGAGATTGCTCAATTGATCCTTTTTATTAAACTAGAAGCAAACATCAATTGCCTATAAATACAGAATAACTTCTAGATAAAAAGCTAGATACTTTGTAAACAAAATTGATGAGTTTCAAAAGTTAATGTACCTTGCAAATCTATAAATGCGGTTCAAAAATAAATGCGGTATAATCCTTCTCTTCGATAAAATTTTAATCATAAATTTTTTTCCTGCTAAAAAGCCAATCTCGAAATTGCCTTATTTAGAAAAAAACATTAAGGGGATTTCATACAATTTCTCAATATCAATGGCTCAAAGTAATCGAAAGTATAATTCAAGTCATGGCGACTGATTCGTATTTGGTTATCATTTATGGCCTTGATCTATTTTAACTCCGAACTGACAGACATCCGAGAACTTTCTTTTTTAAGATTTGTCTTATCAGTTTTCTTACTATAGAAAATGAAGCATTGAACAGAAATGGATTGGAGTAGAAATGAAATTTTATGCTTATGAGTTTTTGCTGGATCGAATAAAACAATTATCTAAACGAGTATTTTCTCTTTGTTATCTTTTCTCTAAACATTTTTTTATTCTAGCTTCAACTAATTTTGAAACGCGTTTCATTAAAATTTTGATTTCGAAATTTAAATCAGCCCAAACAAATTCGATGAGCAAACAAACACCCATAAAAGTAATTTGAATAGCGAGTTCAAATGAAAACCTAATGTTATGCCATGAATCAGCTTTGACTCCTGACCTTTTCACCTGAAATAAATTTCAGTGTACACATCTTAGCAAAATTTTACCAAAGCTGCGTTGGTAAAAGTTTGTTACGTTTAGCATGCAATGTTTTTTTTTGTATAGAATTTTCAATCAGACGAAAAATGTGTAGCCAATATTTTCATACATTTCCTTAGATGAACTTGATTTTTGCACTTTACTTAATCAAATAAGTGGCGTGCTAATCAAAGCCGCACAGTTGAGAAAAAAAAACCTTGAATTAGCGAGTGAGTCAACTGCATTCTTGCATGGGCTTGCTAATTGCACACATGCTGATATACCGGTCCCTTTTTATCTATTTTTAGTTTTGTTTCAGAGGGTGGAGATTGTTGCTTAGCCCAGTTGAGTGCCTACAAAAGATTTGGTCAGGACCGAGGCATATCTCCTGTCAGATACATGGAGGAAGCAACTGAATTTTTTGTTGATAACAAACAACTCAACCTTATAAAGGTAATTTTCTGAAAAAGAGATGTTTAGTTTGCTATTTTTCAAGTTTT